GAAAAAAGAACAAACTGGATCAATGCTCGCTGTGGCTTCAGACAGGGTTTTCCCTTGTCGCCAAGCCTGTTTATTTTATGTTCTGACCTTCTCTCCAAGGCTCTTCATGGGAGTAATAACAAGTTGGGGATGAAATTAGTTCCGAATATGGAAAAAGTAACTCATATGCTGTTTGCAGATGATATTCTTGCAGTAGTGGAGGCCTCTAGTGATAACGCTGGAGCTTTGAAGATTATCCTAAAAAATTACTGCGACTGGACAGGGCAAACAATAAACTCCCAAAAATCCATGGTCTTATATGGTAAAAGAGTATCCAGGAAAAGAAGAAGGAAGCTGAAAAAAATTTTGGGATACAAAGAAGTCAAGGAACTCAGTTATTTGGGCATCAAATTGGCTTTAAGGAGACTTAAAACTGAAGATTTCAGCAACACCATTGAAAAGGCTATGAACAAACTTAATTCATGGGGATCAAGATGGTTATCATTGGCTGGCAGAATAACCCTCATCAAATCAGCCTACTCAAATATGATTTCTTACCAGGTAGCTCATTCCCTAGTTCTTAAAAGTATTTTGCTAAATATTGACAAAATATGTAGGAATTTTTTGTGGCATAAAGAAAATGGAAACCAAGGAATGCACTATAATGCTTGCTCAAATCTATGCCTACCTACCAGTTTGGGAGGTTTTGGCATCCACGGTGCATCAGAAAGGCAGGGACCTTTAAGAGAAAGAATGGCGTGGATGTATTTACAGAACAACGACTCATTTCTCTGTAAAATTCTCAAAAGGAAATATGGTGACAAAATATGGGAGGAAGGTATGAAGAAAGGTTCATAATCAGCTTGGAAATTCATCAAAGAAGGCATCAAATTTTTGAAACCAATTGTAAGATGGGAAGTCAATAATGGTAATAGCATTAACATTACCAATGACAACTGGATTCTAGATCGTAACCTTAACAATTGGCCTGCAATGTGCAATGTAGCAGATCTCTCAAAAAAAAAAAGGTATCCTTTCTTATGGATCAAGACGGAAATTGGAGTTTAGAGAAATTGGCTGATTTTTTCTCTAAAGACATGATAAATCTAATACAACAAATGGATAAAGGGGAGGTTAACAGAGAAGATAAGATAGAATTAATATGCAGCAATTTGGGGAAGACGATATCATCTCTGTGTACTGAAGCCAATAACAGGAATCTTGACAGCAATTTAAGCAAGTTTAATTGGCTGAAAAAGCTGAAACTCAACCAGAGAACTCATTTGTTTTGGTGGAGAGCGCTGAATGATGCACTACCAACTAATTCCTGGTTAAGCTATAGGAAATTAGCTAATAATTCAGATTGTCCTAGAGGATGCAAGACGAGGGAAGATACATAGCATATAACCACTAAATGTGGTAAGCTTTTGGAGATTATACTGAAACTGAGAAACTTGGGTTTTAACGTTCCTTCTTTTCAAAATCTTGATGAATGCATTGAAAAACTCAGTTCTAGAGTTGACAATGGTCTTGCAAAAATTTATGCATTGACCATTTATTATAGCTGGAGGTCACAAAATATGGGCAAACACGGAAATTCGGAACTTCCCATTGCATACATAGCAGCTGAAGTCATATCTCAAGCATCATTCTTTCTACACCAACCAAGAAGAACTGGAGCACTAATCAGCAATTGCTGCCTAAAGCTTGGTGCCCCCCTCCTGAAGGTTGGTTAAAATTGAATGTAAATGCAGCTTTGTTGAAATCGAACCTGGTGGGAATAGCAGGGCTACTCAGAGATTGCAAAGGTAGAATGATATGTGCTTATGGAAAGAAGATGATGCATTGGGATGTTGCTCATCTGGAACTTAAAGCAATTCTCATGATGCAAAAATACATTCAAGATTGGTTTTGTGAATATAAGGGAATAATCATTGAAGGAGACAATGTGAATATCATAAAGATGCTCCAAGATTCTATAAAAATGAAGACTAATAAAGGTATGAAATTGGATCTCTCTTTCCTACAAGTGTTCAAAAATATTCTTTTTCTCTTTACTCCTAGAGATTGTAATAAATTGGCCGATTATTGTGCCAAGTTTACTTTGTTAGACAATGTTTTTGGGACTCCTTTGTTGAAACTGAACTTCCAACAAGTTTTTTACACTTGTGTAGGAAGGACTGTCATGGAGTCTAGATTTTCATTGTATTCTCTTGATTTTCATTAATGCTAGATGCATCCTTTATTCAAAAAAAGAATGAGATAGTGGAGGTGGGTTCGGGTAGTTTGCGAATAGATAGGGAGGCGGTTTGAACCGGTCTTAACCAACCCAAAATCACTTGCATGCCCAAATCAGCCCTAATCCTCATCTAAGTCTTTTCTAATCAAGTGATTAATTAATTAACTTTACATGATATAGAAAATTAAATTTTAATGAATTTTATATGTTGATTAAAGAAAATTGATTTAAAAAAGTTTGATGCGAGCCATAAAAAAATCCTTGCTTGATGCGAGCCACTCCGAAGGCTTGAAGTCTATGGCTAAGTTCTTGGCTCTCAGGGATGGCGCCTGGTACCACCTCTCCAGAGATCCCAAGTAGATATATCTTAAGCTAAGCAACTAATGTCTTATAAGGGCATTTCAAATGTAAACTTACAAGAATTCTCTTAGTCTCGTAGTCTTTCAATTCAGCCGGACTGGCCTTCTGGTTTCATAAATGACTTATGGCGTACCTAAACTGGTTTCGATAGACTTTCAATATTTTCTAGGATTGCAAAAACTCGCAAAGAGTCAAGTTGGGCCGCTCGGATCTATATATGTTAAATTGAATTCGGCTCAAATTAGTTCAGCTCAAAAGTGTATTGATTTTAGATGAGTCGAATTGGATTTAGTTTGGAGTTGAATTAGATTTGGATTGAATTGATTTCAATTTAGGTTGAGTTATCAATTCGAGTCGATGCTACGTCACTAGGTGGGCCTAAGGGGGAATCCTGAAGGTGGCGTCTACACTAGGCTATAAAGATCTATATGCTAAGAGTCGGCACAAGGAATATTAACCTCGAGTAATGAGGTCAACAATAATTTTCTCATTTCTATTCTAAATCTAATCTAATTTGATGTTAATTAGATACTACAAATCTTAAAATTCATGACTAAATCAGAATTAAGCAAGCATTCATTAAATTTGGTTAACTAGCTAGATCCTGGAACAATATATGTTACAACTATAGTTAGAATCCTAAAAAATCCCATTACATCAAAAAAGGAGCATATGAGGCACATGCATGAGAAATTTAAAATTTCATGCACATTGCTGACGTGATTCCTCCTACCATGCTAAGAAAATTGTATATGAGGCTGCACTCATCACCTTAAATAAGTTTTTCCCATGATGTCACAACCTTCACCAATGAGCTTCATTCCATCACACTAAAAAAACATATACGAGGCTTCACTCACCATGCCAAATGCATCGCTGGTAGTTTTTGAGGGGGTGTAAGTTAGTGAATGAGGTAATGATTTTGGATTTTTATATATGAAAATATATTTTAGTGGGCAGTGCCACAATGTTCAAATCCACAACATCGTAATGCTTGGACATGATGGTCGATTCCAGCACCGTAACACTCCTTCAAATTATCTTCCCAAATAGAGAGGGCAACATCACAGCATCATGACACTCCAAAGAATTTTTTACCACTTATAATTTTCTCCTTTATATTCCAATTCTAATCTAATTTGATGTTAATTAGATACTAAAAAACTTAAAATTCGTGACTAAATCAGAATTAAGCAAGCATTCATTAAATTAGGTTAACTTGCTAGATCCTGGAACAATATATGTTACAACTATAGCTAGAATTCTCAAATAATCCCATTACTCCAAAAAAGAGCATATGAGGTACATGCACAAGAAATTTAAATTGTCATGCACATTGCTGGCGTGATTCCTTCCACCATGTTAAGAAAATTGTATATGAGGCTCCACTCATCACGTTGAACATGTCACTAATAAGTTTTTCACATGACGTTGCAAATTTCACCAACAATCTTTGTTCCACCACACTAATAAAAGCATGTACGAAGCTTCACTTGCCATGCCAAATGCATTGCTAGTAGTTTTTGAGAGTTATGATTTGTATTTTATAGCATGTGTGTGTGAAAATGAAGCAAGTCGATGACAAGGTTAAAAACTTAGAACGAAACATACAAAATATTTTTTGGATATTTCATTTTGATTTTTTTTTTTACTAAGGGAGAGAGAAGTTCTATGTTCTTTTTTGAGAGAGAAGCGAGGTTGGGGAGAGTTTTAGAGAGTAAAATGAGTATTTGTTTCTCTATTTAGAGAGAAGAAGTGTGATTGTAAGAAAAATAGTTTTCTCTCTCTATCTAAAGATTGAAAGATAGAGAAGAGATGAGATATTTTTTGTGGTAACTCTCTATTTAGAGAAAGAAAATGGAGAGAAAATGATTGGATGTAGGTTCTCTCTATTTAGAGAGAAAAAATGAAGGGAGAGAGAGAGAAGAAAGAGAGGAAATGAGATTTGTTTTTATTTTTTAAAATAGCTCTCTATTTAGAGAGAGAGAGAGAGAGAGAGAGAGAGAGAGAGAGAGAGAAAGGCGAGGGACAAAAAAAGGGAAAAAAGGTGGGGGAAGAGCAAGAGAGGAGGGGGAACAGGGTGAGCGGCAATAGCATAGTCGATTGGCTAGAGCGGCGGCCAAGAATGAGGGTGTAGGTGAAAGCACCGATTAGGTGTGAGCGCTAGATAGAGCAAAGGCACACAAGTGGGTTGGGTCACACACAAGCACGCACGGCATTACATGCATGACATAGTTGGACTAGGGATGACAACATTGGTCAAAGAGCTGGAGGCGATCACAATGGCTCTTTCTACCATTGGTATGGTAGGCAGAACTTCCTTCATATTTATTTATTAATTATTTGATTTGATTTGATTTGCGAGGTACCTTGACCTTTTAATTGGTCTATAGTTGGTATATGACACAAAAGCACACCGCCATTTTAAATTCCAATTAATCTCCATCAAACTTTATAATCATTAAAAACTAGTCTTACAATGTGAAATATCAAGGACTATACATTATTCAGGCCAAATGCATGGCTGACTTAAAATCATCAAATGGAAATAAAACAACAAACAGCATAAACGCTTTCCTATAAGAAATAAAAAATAAAAAACACACGCATACAATTCTCCAAACCCAAGCTGCTGATGAATTTACAATTGCATCTTCACATCATTACTTCATTTGCGCAGTAGTCTGATAAACGACTCTCTCAGGTCCACCTTTAAGCAGTTACTTTCTGTCTTCCATCAATATTGTCCAAATAGTACTTGTGATTTCCATCAGATGCACCATTGATGTCATCTTCTTCTTCTCTCATCAAATACTTATCCACCTGGGAAGCTGCTTGCCTCCCCTCACTTATCGCCCAGACCACGAGCGACTGTCCTCGGCGGCAATCTCCGGCGGCAAAGACGCCTTTAACAGACGTTGAGAAGCGACCATATTCCGCCTGGAAGTTGGAACGACCGTCCAATTCCAAACCCAACTTCTTTGCAATTGTCTGAAATAATAATGTGAATAAATCATAGAAAAGCAGTAAACAAATATATCGATGAGTTGGGCAACAATTACAGACATTTTATGGAGGAGGGTACCGAGCAAAAACTCACAGGTTTTTATATTTTTTGTTTTCATGCCCTGATTCTTTTTAGGATGGCTTATTTATGGCAATTTAATAGAGCTAAAGACCCATTAATAAGCTAATACCAGCTAAAACACTCATTTACATTTATTACAAGCAACTTACTTGTTGATATGATGTTATGGTCTGGTGAAGGACGGATTGAGAAGAGTAGGAAAAGAAAACTTACTGGTTCCGGGCCAAGGAAATGGCTAAGAGAACTAGATCGGCTTCGATAATTTGCTCAGAACCTCCAATTTCTTCGGGTCGGAGCCTCCCACTAGTATCCTTCACCCAGCGAACTCTCACCATTTCAAGAGCTTTAACAGCCCCATTTTCGTCTCCAATGAAACGCTTAGTCATGACTTCATAAGACCTTGGGTCCTTCCCAAACTTAGTTGTTGCTTCCTGGTGGCCATAGTCCACGCGGAATATGCGAGGCCACTGCAAAATTATAATAACGTTAAAAAATAAACAATCAAAATGCAGGAAGAAAACATAGAGCAACCTTTGGTTTTGGATTTAGTTCATCTTCAGATGATTAAAATCAGAAAATTATTTGGGATGATAAGATTTAAATCTTGAAAAACATTTGATTAATAGGATACCAAACAGCTCCAACAGTTAGCATCCACAACCCTTTGGCTGCCCTCCAAGAAAAAGGTTTAGGAAATAAAACTATCGGTATCCAAAAGTTTGTATTTATTTAGTAAAGGTGCCTGAAACCATCCACTGGTATATTGTGTATAGATTGCCTACAAAAATTGATGAGCAGTTTAAAATTCAAGAGAAGGATAAACCTGAGGCCATGGGTTGCTTGGTGCTCTTGTTCTAGGTGGCTCAGAAAGCAGCTCGAGATTTATGATGTTTGTGCAACCATGTCGAATAGATGTGCCGATGCAATCTGTGCCAGTGTCTCCACCACCTATCACCACCACCTTCTTTCCCTTGGCAGAGATGTAATTCCCATCCTGTAAATTGCTATCAAGCAAGCTTTTTGTATTTGAATGGAGGAATTCCATGGCAAAATGAACCCCTGAGAGTTCCCTCCCAGGAACTTCCAGATCTCTGCAAAATAAAGGAGTTAATGATATATCACACCTTAATTTTAGGGTTGGGATTCCAGCTCGAAGATTGAATCAATTTTTGCCTCAATTCAATCTTCAAGTCAATTTTGAGCTGGGCTTGGATTGGATGAAGTCGGCTCGAAATTTACTCTAAATATAAATAATATGTATACTTTTTAGGGGTATTATAAATAAACATATATGAATATTCAATATTAAAAAATATATAAAAGAAAAATAAATAATTTTGAGTTGGCTTGATTAAAATTCGAGTCAGCTCATATGAGGCTAATTCAAGTCAAGACAACTCATGATCGAAACAATTCGGTCCAACAACTAATTTTGAGCCAACACTGAATATGCTTTAACTAAGATTATTCTCACCCGACTTAATTTACATATATACATATATGTAACCTGATAAACGACAATCTATGTACCACTTTTGCAAAAATATTATAAAAAATTCAAATATTGGTGACTACCAGAGAAATAGGAACCTGCTCAACGTCTTAATTTAATATTAGTTGTTATAGCCAAATACCTTGGCTTTGTAGCTCCGCATGCCAAAATAATAGCATCACTATCAGCACGTATTCCATCAAGTGAGTACAATGGATCCGTTCCAACGTTTGCATTCACAACAAACTTGACACCTTCCTTTGTCATAAGATCAACGCGTCTCTGAACAATATCAATCTTATCTGCTTTCATGTTTGGAACTCCATACATCATCAAACCCCCTATGCGATCCGAACGTTCATATACTGTAACCCAATGACCCATTTTGTTAAGTTGATCAGCTGCGGCTAATCCTGCTGGTCCACTACCAACAATGGAAACCATTTTCCTGAATCCGAAAGCCCAAATAAATACAATCAAAAATATGCTTGTAACTGAAACCATGCATTCTGTTGGAGAATTTAACAGCAAAATTAAATATAGAACATGAAACTTTCTATAGATTCACATCCAATTGTATGGTAAGCCTCCCCTATTATGTTCAACATATCTGGTTGATCAATATGGGTATTTATTTTTCACTTAACCTGCGCTATTCTCAAACATTCTGGTAAGTATTTTATTGTTCGTTTGATGTTTCATTGCAAAACGTGAATAAAACCCGAGGAAGAGCTTCAATGTTCAATCTAGAGACAGCCAACTTTTGGATAAAAATTTCCTACTAGATTTTAGCAATTGGGACGCAAAGAATTGATCCTATAACTTTATACGGGCATATCCGAGTAATCAAAAAGAAAAATATGGAAAATATTCACAAGTTATGACATCCAAAAATGTACTCCAAAAAACTGAAATTTAAATGGAAGAAAATAGGAAGGAAAAAATCGCAAATTTTAAGGGAATTAATCTTACCCAGTTCTCTTGAGTGGAGGACGTGGTACCATCCATCCATTTTCAAAGGCTTTGTCTATAATGGAGCACTCTATGCTTTTAATCGATACGGGGTTCTCAATGATGCCAAGAACGCATGATCCCTCACAGGGAGCTGGACAGACACGGCCGGTAAATTCTGGGAAATTATTTGTTTCAAGAAGCCGATCCAATGCCTCACGCCATCTATTCTGATGGACCAATTCATTGAACTCAGGAATCTTATTTCCAAGAGGACAACCAGAGTTCTCCTGGATATACCGGAAACAACAAAAGAATATGAGTCACATGCAGAACCAACTTGAAAGCAACTACAGAAGGAGGAGATGCATAAACAACAAGAATCGTCTATGTAAATTAAAATTCCATCCTGCAACTTCCTTACCTTAAACTTTAGTTGAACCATGAAGACCTATTATATTACACTTCTGGAAATCTTAAGCACCAATTCTACTCAAATGAACATGAAGAAACCCTACTGATTAATCAAATACTTAACATCCCTTCCGAAAGCTGATGCAAATCTACACAGTATAAGTATCATAACAGAATTGCAGTTACATTTACCCTACCCATAAACAAAAATTGCCTAAAATAGATGTGTAAAATAACACAATTTGTAGCAGAAGTTCAGGGAAGTAAATGCTGAAATACTCAAGCCCGACAAAACCTATTTTGGAAAGGTGTAACATTACCTGATGGCAGAATGGGGTACCACAGTCCATACAGCGAGCTGATTGTGTTTTCAACAAAGGACCAGGTTTTGATTCCACAGCAACTTCCTTCCAATCATTAATCCGCTCATTAGGATCTCGATAAGCTATCCCCTCCCGCTCATACGTGATAAAACCTCGATGCTTGACAGCGTCAGCAACTTGAGTTGGCCTCTTTCTTGCCTTTGAGTCCAATTTCTGTGAATTAAAGATCAAAATTTAATAATGAAGGCCTCCGAGAAAATTTTATCAATTATTCAAATAATAGCACAACATGAAATGCAGAACTGAGGACTACAACTGCACTTATGATGAACAAATAAATGCTCGGAAGGTAGGGGGAACTGCATGGCAGGAATCCAACTCCATCCTGCCTATTGTAATTATTTTGTTTAATGCTCAACTTATCAATCAAAGATGAAATGGGCAGCTATTATTAAGGAAAACATATCTCCAGGTCTTACAATAAAATGAAACTAACATCCTTGTCAGAAGACAAACATAACAGCTCACAGCATCGGTCAAGTTGCATAATATTTATTTACTAGAAGAGGAAAAGTGACATGTTAAATAACCAATAAGTGAGCCAACAAAGAAATGGTCATTGAGATTACCAGATCTCCGTTGACATTCCTTGTTGCAGTTGCTAACTTCTTGAGCTCTTCAAATGCATCCTTCTTCATCAGTTCACTTTCCTCTTGCTGCTGTGCTTCTTTGGCAGCTTTTTCAACCTTCAATTTCTGAAGCATCCTCTTATAATCACGTGGGAAGACCTTGACAAATTTAGGGAGAAGATAATTAAAATTAGAGAGGATTTCCCTTGCTAGTTGACTGCTAGTGTGACGCTGATGCTGCTGTATCATCATTTTCAATGTCATAATGTCCTCTTCTTCTTCAATCTTCTCAAGATCTACAAGCTCTAAATTACACAGGTTATGGAATTTCCCATCCACATCATAAACATAAGCAACACCACCACTCATGCCAGCAGCAAAATTCCTCCCAGTTTTCCCAAGCACAACAACTACACCACCAGTCATGTATTCACATCCGTGATCTCCTACACCTTCTACTACTGCCGTGGCACCAGAATTACGGACACAGAATCTCTCCGCAGCCATTCCACTAAAATAAGCTTCACCTTTGGTTGCACCATACAAAGCAACATTCCCTATGACAATGTTTTCCTTTGGATCAAATTTACTCTGATTTGGAGGGTAAACAATAATCTTTCCACCTGATAACCCCTTTCCAACATAATCATTGCTATCTCCTTCAAGTTCAAGAGTAATTCCAGGGCAAAGGAAAGCACCAAGGCTCTGACCAGCACTTCCATTTAATCTAATATGGATTGTATCTGATGGAAGCCCATCCATGAAATATTTCTTCGTAACTTCATGGCTAAGCATGGTTCCAACAGCACGATTTACATTGCGAATTGGCATTTCAATGTAAACAGGAATGGCCTTATCTAAAGCAGGTTTGGACAAAGAGATCAGCTCATTGTCTAAAGCCATTTCAAGACCATGATCCTGATTTTGGACAAAATACTGTGCAGCATCCGGACGTATTTCTGCTGCAGGTTTGAGCAATAAACTAAGATCAATGTTCTCCAGTTTTTCATTATTCTTTACAACATCAGGATCTATTTCTAACATGTCTGACCGACCGACCATTTCATTTATAGTTCTAAACCCCAACTGCGCCATGATTTCACGCAACTCCTCTGCCAGCATAAAGAAGAAATTTATAACATGCTCTGGCTCTCCAGAAAATTTTGCGCGAAGAATAGGATCTTGAGTAGCAATGCCCACAGGGCAAGTGTTTTTATGACATTTCCGCATCATAATACAGCCAAGAGTTATCAGAGGGGCAGTACTGAAACCAAATTCTTCAGCACCGAGTAAAGCAGCAATAGCAACATCTCTTCCATTTTTTAACTGGCCATCTGTTTGAAGGACTGTTCGACCACGAAGATTGTTTGCCACTAGAGTTTGATGTGTCTCAGCTAATCCAAGCTCCCAAGGAAGCCCAGCACTCTTAATGCCCGTCCATTTTGAAGCACCAGTACCACCATCATGCCCGGATATCAAAACATGGTCAGCATGTCCTTTTACAACACCACTAGCAATGACTCCAACACCAGCCTCAGAGACGAGCTTAACACTAATTCGAGCACCAGGGTTTGCATTCTGTAAGGACAAAAACAAATATATTACAATAGAAGACAGTCATTAAACATACATTAGAATCCCGAATCTTCCATAGAACTACAAATTCTATTAAAAAACCGTAGAGTAGGTAAACAAAAATGCATCCATTACAAAAAATGAAAACAATTACAGAATTGCACAAGATTAAGAACTACAAACAAACCTCTCCATACCCAACATTCGTAAACTGAATTGACTGTCACATTAAAGGACGAATAATCAAAACGTATACCTTAAGATCATGAATTAATTGTGCAAGATCCTCAATTGAATAGATATCATGGTGAGGTGGGGGGCTGATAAGCCCTACCCCAGAAGTAGAATTCCTAGTGATGGCTATGTCACCAATAACTTTATGTCCTGGAAGTTCACCCCCTTCACCTGGTTTGGCCCCCTGATTAACAAGGAGAACAAAACATCAGCATAAATGCAAAAGCAGAATCAAACTAAATTCCAGTTATATAACCTCACCAAATTTCAAAGGTATGCATCAGTAATAGATACAAAGACACACGTAGGTGCTTTGTAGAATCAGCATCATCTGTCCATGAACGTAAATTCATAAACAAGAGGACCTTTTGTTCCAGTAGCAAGAACAGAGGTAGACAGGAAGCAGATGACCCAATAGAAAAATTTCTAGAACAAAAATGGCATTGTGGACTTGAGTTGGTTTGGTGGAATTACCTGAGCCATCTTTATTTGAAGTTCATTAGCATTGGTGAGATAATAGCTTGAAACCCCAAATCTTCCACTGGCAACTTGTTTGATAGCACTCCTCTTCGGATTCTTTGAACCATCTGGAAGCGGAACCATCCGTGAAGGTTGCTCACCTCCCTCACCTTCATTAAATTTTAAGTAATCATCAGGTAGTAAAAATAGGGGTGAAAAAACAAGCAAATATTTAATAGCAAATGTCAGTAATCAAGAAAGCCTCATGAAAGACTGCTTACAATAACAAAGCTAAAAAAAAATTCAACTCTACTTAATAAGTACTAAATAAAGAATCCGAAGAGAACAAATCCAGAGATTGCATTCAACTTTGTCTACAAGCGAGTCCTGGCATAGCCATATTGATGTGAATCCAGGAGTTGTTTTAAGAAATTAATAAAGGTTGTTGGAGCAATGATAAAAATAATTTTGAAGAGTCTCAAAATTGAAAATTCAAGAAAGCTCTTAGAAGAAAACGATGCTTAGGCAATCCATCACAACTAAATTTGCAAGTTCTTTAAAATAACAACTTAAACAAAAGTAATGAAATGATTAGTCAACTAGAATCCGACGGTTAACAAAGCGACCGTCTCACCTTGAGGCTCAAAGCCACTCTTCTACGTCTAGGGTTGTCGGAGGAAGAAGAACCATACGAGAAACGAAATCACTCCAAGGTTGACGGCGCAGACGATCCGTAGTGATGGAGAGGGAGGCGTAGGTGGTGGAGGTGGCGAGGGTGGTGACCGTTGATGATCCACTTGTAGTCTGAAAATTGATCGTCAATGACGTCCACAAGGGTGGGGAGGATTTGATTAAAGTAATATTCAATAGTGTCGTCAAAGCCAAACCTCACGTCGAAGAATGGAGACCGAAGAATGTGGATGACTCCGTAGACGTCGAATACGAGTCCGTGGTCAACTTCGGGATCCGCCATTCATGACTATGAAATGCTCTTGTGAATGAGTTTGGTTGTAGAATAGTCTTCAGTTGGTGGAGCTCAACAACACAGAGGAGAAGAAGAGATGTGGCAGCGTCTTGGAGGGGAAGAGGATTGATCCGGCGTGAGAATTTGATAGGGACGGCTATAGTGGAGAGGCTAGGAAATAAATTCAGGAAATCTGAAATTATTTCAGGTTTAGGTGAATAGGAGGGAATAAATTTGAGAATTTCAAATTAATCCCAAAAGGGGAAGGGTGGGGCGGTAATGGGAGAGGGATTTGGGGCTGATTTTGTGGAGATTGGGAATTAATTGGGAGAGAGAAAGCCAAGGAAGGGGGGCCGACCAAGCATAGAGAGGGAGAGAAGAATTAGAATTAAATAGATGGGGCCCACATGATTAAACAAGGATTTGAAGAAAATCTAAAATATATTTCAGATTTTGATAATAGGAAAGTTTCCTAATAGGAGGGATATCAATTAGGATTAATTTGAATTTCAAATTCAAATTGAAATCCAATTAATATGAAATTAAGGAGTTATTTTAGGAAAGTAGTAAAGGCCTCATGGAAAATTTGAAACTGGAATCCTTGACCCAAGAGGGGCCGGCGGCAAGCCTGGATGGCTGCAACGGGTTGGCGGCCGGCGGTTGGGAGGGGGAGGGGGGGGGGAAGTTGCAGCCGGCGGGTTAGTGGGGAGGGGCGACGGGATGGGGGTTTAGGGGAGAGGATTGTGAGGGGAAATTCAAGGGAGAGAGGGCCACGGATCTTGGGAAGAGGAAAAAGAAATTCAAGCACACAAACCTCAACTCTTTCTCCACTAGAACTCACGATGAGATCTAAGATGCCTCTCTCCTCAAGAACTCACAAATAGATCAAGAGGAGTTTTGGGAACTCACAAAGAGAACAACAAATAAAATTTTTCATTCATCAATAATCCAAATACAATGACTAAGCCTCTCATATATAGGCCTTCTGAAAATAAACACATAAAGACGAAATTGCCCTCGGGCTATAACATGCAATAACTTCCTCATAAGGGTACAGATGGAAAAACAATAAATATAAATAACATGAGAACATAGAACATCATAAATAAAGACTATGAATCATAGCCGTCGCTCGACGACTCCTCCGATGATAAGTTTGTCGAAATCTCCTACGAATGTCCTCATCACATATACTATCGATGAACAGTAGTTGAACACTTAAATGGAAAGTTTAGTGTAGCAAACTGATAAATTTGTATGAAAGTTCAAAAGCAAAACATAAAATACTAAAAAATTGCATTAGGGATTCAATTGCCAGAAGATGATAAGAACTAGGAAATAATTATCAATATAATATCCTTCTAATTTAATTGCTAATTAGTGAGTAAATACATGTTAGAAAAAAATATTAGGATTTTACAAGACAACTATCATTTAAATTCATGCTCGACATTGATCTGCAACTTTAAAAAAGACATAACTTGAATTACAGAAAAATAAATATACAAAATGGATGTTAGCATGCACACCTGTATTTGATTTTCCACCAAGTTTGTTCATGGCAATTGCAAGAGTAGTATGTGTTTCTAAAGATATTGAACCATAACTCATAGCCCCTGTACAGAATCGCTTCACAATCTCAGATGCTGGCTCCACTTCATCCAACGAAATTTTCACTTGGTCATCTTTAAACTTCAGCAACCCTCGTAAATTGCAGCTCTTATTAAGTTCCTGAATACGCTTGGAATACTCTTTGTATGCAGACACACTGTTTTGCCTAGCCGCTTCTTGCAACTTTGCAATAGCAAGAGGATCATTCAGGTGCACCTCGCCTCCTTTTCTCCAATGATAATCACCTGGATTGGGCAGTGCAACTACATCTGAACTACCAGGGGGTAAGGCCCGTTTGGGAAACGCCACATCATGGAGGCAAAGTGCATCAGCAGCAAGCATTTCAAAAGTAGCTCCCTCAACCCTGCTTGGTGTGCCTTTAAAACACCTATCAATCACCTCAGTAGAAAGCCCAAGAGCTTCAAATATTTGTGCACCTTTGTATGAGGCTAGAGTAGATATGCCCATCTTAGCAAGCACTTTCATCACACCGTCATTGCATGCTTTAAAGTATTTCTGGACAAGTTCCTCTTGTGAATGAAACTCACCATTCCCTTTAGGAGGAATCTTTCCATCAATTTGTAATCGCCAAATGGCTTCAATTGCCAGATATGGACATATTGCATCAGCACCGAATCCAACAAGCGTACAGAAGTGATGCACTTCCCTAGGTTCAGCAGATTCTACAACCAATCCAACCCTTGTGCGCTCAAGAGTTGAGACTAGATGCTGATGCACGGCACCAACTGCCAGGAGAGAACTTACAGCTACATTCTCCAATGAAAAACCTATAAAATAATTTCACTTAATCAATTCAAAATGATAATGGAGGTGCTTTAAGGTTGATAAATAACACTGTTTAATATTAAAAATAAAACCAAAAAATAAATAAGTGAATAGAAACACAAACTTGATATCAAAATTAGAAAAACAAAACAAAACAACGATGCTCATCCTTCGCATAATTGGATAATAAATTGAGAGATAAAGAAAAATAAATTTCATTGAAAATATTTCAGCTTTTATCACACAATAATGGTAGCATAAAAGATTTCAGACTGCAGAAACTTATCACCTCTGTCAGATAGCACAAGCGTTGTGTAGCCTTCATAAATAGCATTCCGAGCCTCAGAACAAATCCTATTCAGAGTCTCCTCCAAGCCTTTCCGACCATGTTTTTTAGGATATGTAACGTCAAGTATCTTGCTGCGCCAACCTCTGAAGTTCATCTTCTTTATAGCTTCCATTTCCTCAATGGTGAGAAAAGGTCCTTTTAGGATGAGACGATGACATTGTTCCTCAGTAGTTTCAGTTAAATCCCCTTCGGGACCAATCATACACTCCATAGATGTAACAATTTTTTCACGGATGGGATCAATAGGAGGGTTTGTGACTTGTGCAAACATCTGTTTGAAGTACTCAAACGTAAGCTTCTCCCTGCCTGACATCACAGCCAGTGGAGCATCATTTCCCATAGAACCAAGAGCTTCCGTGCCATCCTTTGCCATCGGAAGAAGCAACATCTCCAAGGATTCCACTGTATACCTGCATGCAAAATAATAAAGGAATGTAAAACTGTGCATGAACATGGTTAGCCTAAAAATAAAAATATACCAAACCTATTCGTACCCAAAGGCTTTTAGTGGAGCTAAAAGACCATGTATGCCCATATTTTCAATGGTGTCATCAAAACCATCTACCTATTAATTATGACAATAAATAAATTTGAAATAAGCTGCTGTAACACCTTAAGATATACACACTCATCAAAATTAGGAGAAATATATAAAGGAGTTTTTACTTACTGGGATGGTTCCTAATACAGCTGGAATGACCCTATCAGCTTCAGGCACGGAGTCAACAATGTCTTTCAATGTAATCTTCTGTTTCTTCAACCAGTCTCCAAATGGCCGTGCTAATGAATATTGCTTCTTCAATGCATCATCATCAACAACAATATGATTTTCGAAATCCACTAATAACATCATTCCAGGATTGAGTCTTCCTTTCCTAGAAACATCTTCTGGAGGAACATCAACGACACCAACTTCACTTGCCATGATTACTCTTCCACTATGTGTGATATAAAATCGACCAGGCCTCAAACCATTGCGATCCAATGTTGCTCCGAGATAGCGTCCATCAGTAACTGCATACAATTATAAAAAATAGTTAAATAAGAACCAACATGCCTAATAAAACCAGATAAATTTAAGTAGAACCTTACACGATACTAGCGCTGGTCCATCCCATGGTTCCATTAGTGCTGAAAAATATGCATAGAGTGCCTTCCTTTCTGGGTCCATGTTATTATCATTTTGCCAAGCCTCAGGTATCATCATCATGACAGCTTCTGGAAGATCTCTTCCAGCTCTCACTAGAAGCTCAAGGACACCATCAAAAGCACCTAAGATGTTACAAGCTACAGTTAATATTTTTCAAGCAGCTAGTAAACTTTTTATGCATGTTTAGAAGTACCATGCAAATAGATTATCTATTCCCATATATTTAACAAATAAAATCTAAGCTGGATGAAGAATGAAATAACCAATATGTAAACTTAAGGTTGTCGACCACTCATTTAAATCATTTGCTCTTTGGCTTAATGAATGAATAAGATATAAGACAGGAAATGCGAGCATTTATTCAAAACAAGTGGAAGTAATGGTGTAAATGCACAGAGACCGACTAAAATGGTAAGGGCAACCTGAATCTGATGAGCTAACATCCACAATAGGTAGAAGCTTCTTCATTTCATCCTTTGACAATCCCAAATTCTTGCACTTCAAGAGACCTTCACGTGCTTTCATCCTTAATAGAAAATTTGGTAAGATATATCAGAATCAAACTACAGAAAAGGGGAAAAGGGTAAGAAAATGAACAATAAGACAAAAAAGTATGAATAGTTAGATTTATTGGTTTGACGTTTTACCAATTTACATTCCCTCTAAGTGTATTAATCTCTCCATTATGTCCCAAAACTCGCATAGGTTGAGCCCGATCCCAACTGGGAAAGGTATTGGTAGAAAATCGAGAGTGAACCTGTACAAGAAACTCATATATCAACCCAGTAATTTCTATCTAGAACCAAATCCGCCATTATAATTCACACTAAGATGAACATTTCAAGCAATTCTGCACCAATGCACATATAAGAATGAGAAGCTTTTTAAATCTTCAGCGCCAATACAAAAAATATCATTAAAACCCTAAGCTACCTTGCCCATATATTATTTCCTTTCCACCTCCAAATTGAAAGTCTCATCCTTTAGGAAGTGACCATTTTGAGCACTGCATCAGGACTCTGCAACATGGTTTACTAAATACAACTATCAAGGTCTTTCACCAATTTACCCAAGGCATGCACAATACCCAAATTCAAATAATATACAATAGGAGATAACATATATAATTTGAAGTTTTTCCCTTCATCTTTAAATCTCAAATGTGTTACCATGGACCTAACTTTTCCCATGGAGCTTGTTGTAAAATGACACTTAGTTATAGAAGAGATTGTCAGATATGAAATATTTACCAGGGCCATGTAACTTGTAAATCTTTCATCACCAAGATCTGCATAATAATAGTTTTTCAACTGAATTGGTTTTAGCTGCCCTTTATAAACCACTGTCCTGCAATATAACAAAACAGTAGTAATTTAACAAATGATTTTGAATTCATCCCTAAGAGGTAAGAAGATGACAAAGTTATGCAAAAAGAAATACAAGGAAATAAAAAAGATAGCAGAAGGAATACAGAGAAAAAAAGAAAAAAAAATAGTCTTTATATTTGGATTTAATAATAATTTGTGGTGATATACTTTTAATAATATAGACCTCCTATTTGGTGTCCAGACCAGAAATTGCAAGTTATTTCATTTGAGTGATTCAAAATTAACTCGATGCTACTATACAATTACAATATGCAGAATTCTATGCAGCCCTTAGTTTACAAAACTAACATAATATGCTTTCAAATTGGCTTGTTGAGCCATCGTATATAATGCCAACCTAGAGCTCAAATTGACATGATAGTTGGGTTCGTAGGCTTTTGAATTGAGGACTTCACCAATTTGGCCCTTAAGCTTATTAAAAAAGGATGGCCTTCCGATGACCCGGTTAGGAAAGTAGATGCATTAGATTTAGATATGACCTTTCTTTATTAGATTTAAATGAGAATTTAACTTTCGACAAGGTACAATAGAGAAAAAGGATTCGTGTAGCCGACCCCACATAGTGGGATAAAGGCTTGATGTTGTTGTTGTTGTATATTTGGATTAAATAAAAAGGAAAATCAATCTATCAAAGACATTATCCTTTTTTAGTTAAATTGTATAAATTTGATACCCTCAACATGGAAAAGTACTAATATTGATAAATGTAAGATAGAAGGAAAGATGAAAAAAAGGTGGTGTTGGTCGTGTTGAGAAATAACAATGGAAAAATCACCTTGTAGATAAGGAGCATATGTAGAAGTCCCTAGCTTCACCATGTTTGAGATCTAAAGCAACTCGAATGGCTGCCATAGAAACCCTTCTTAATATGTACATCTGCATCGTTGAACAACAAAAGACCAAGAAAAAAAAATTAAGCAATAAGATATATATTCGTATGCACATGAAAACAATAAATTAAAAAGAGGGTGTCAGTACCTGTTGTTCAAAATCCACACTTTTTCTCAAACGAAGTTTCAGGAAGACTTGTTCAATGACTGGTTCTGTTTGAAGAGCAGATTGTCCCAAATCTGAATTATCTGTGGGTACATGGCGCCAACCAATAACCTCATGCCCCAATGACAATGCAGCCTAAAATGCAAATAAAAATTTCAAACATCCAAGGACAAGTTGAAAACTCATTAATAGTGGAATCATTAACACTTTTATTTCTTAAAATTAGTGGCCAAGGGTCAGCTAGAAAATTTTATTAGTGGGGTCACAAATTTATAATTTTTAATATATTCTTAATTTTTTCACGTGATTGCTTTTATATTTTTATTTAATAATTAATAATAAAATAATATTTAAACTTTCAAAAATGTAAGTTATTACTTATAAATTTGTGACATATATGAAAATTTTACACTAAAATTTATCATATTCTTTTGTAAGATTTAATAATAATTTAACTGAAAAACAAAAGTTTTGAATGACTTACTAGTCTAATAAGCAATTCATAAATAATGAGTTATCTCTAATTGGAGATAATTATATCCAAAAAGAAATTTCAGGTATATTTCTCCTTAAAAATGAATGAAAAAAATTGTAAGTTAAGTATATGATCCTTTTTGGTTTCATACATTAAATATTCATTTAAATATTTATAAATGAAAAAATAAATAAATAAAATGAAACAAAATTTAAAAAACAAAAAAATAATCAAAATTATCAAACCAAAATTTTCATGAGACCAAAATATGAAACAAGTACTAAAGTCTTTATTTATATTTGTTTTAATAATCTTTAAACAATTATTTCAATTATGAAAGCTAAGTAGATGAATCTGACTTGGGGAGCGTCTATCTTCTAGTTCTTAATGTTTTCAAGTTTTTGAAGCATGTAAATCCCATCAAATTTGTTGAAGAGCCTTATCTTGTAAATATATAGAAAGAAAATATTCAATTTTTATAAACCAGATAATTCAAATTTCCATGAAGGATTATAGGCCAGTGGGGGCACGTGCCCCCAATGCCCCCATGCTAGTTCTGCCACTATTGGTGGCACTAAAATCTAGTTGAGAATCTATAAATTGAACTATGCTAACAAACAATACACTAACAGTACAATATTAAAATAATATGGTGCACTTTAAACTCGTATAGATTTACTAAATCTAAGCCCAAACTTTAAAGTGCACTTAAAATACATGCCAAATAAAGGGAAATTTTTATAGTACCCATCAAAATGGAGAAATATAATTAATCTTCTCAAATAAATATTAAAAGTAAACTAAAAAATCATAATTAAATCTAAAAATGTTAAACATCTAGATTATTATAAAACCAATGTACAAATATGCCTAGCAAATTTACAAGCATAGAGAAAATCTCCAATATGGTTCAACTTTAAAAATAATATAAATCAATCTATTTAAAGTGGATGATTCAACATCCAAAATTCAAACACATACAATGACTTAGCTTGGATATCAGATCCTAATTCAATAAGCTTGAGGGCCAAAGTGTTGAAGCCCTCAATTCATAAACCTACGACCCAAACTGATTTTCTAAGATCTAATAACCTACTTAACATGCAAATTTTAAACAAGTCCAATGATTTAGCTTGGATATCAGGTCCTTGTTTAATAAGCTTAAGGGACAAACTGGTCAAGCCCTTAATTCAAAAGCCTACGGACCCAACTATTATGTCAATTTGAGCTCTAGGTTGGCATACATATATGATGGCTCAACAAGCCAATTTGATAGCATATTATGTTAGTTTTGTGTTGCAAATCTGAGTTTATGGATTAGACTTTTGATGATAGAAAACATTCATGATTTTCTACGACTGCATTGCCTACTAACTTTTCAGGTCCACATGATCGAATGCAACTCAAGCCAGCTCAAGATTGGGTAGATTTAGGTTGAGTCGGTCTGTAATGTTTTTTCTTTTTCTTGAGTCAATTGTAAAAGTGGTTCATGATGCTAAGTAACCTTACACACACACACTGAAGGGATTTTTTGAATTTTTTGTTTTGATTACATCGGACTGGACGATGTTCATATCGGCCAGGACGATCCGACTAAAAATAGAAATCCTAATTAGGGCATCTTGGTTAAGCAGCCGTCATTAAGCACATCGTCCTGGACGATCCTTGTATCGGCCAAGACGATAGGCTCAAATCAGAAAGAATCAGTCGTCATGATCAATTTAGGTATTCTTTATTTTAGTACATCAGCCAGAACGATCTCAATATTGGCCTGGACGATGCAGCACAATTATGTCTAAATTAATCTGGTAATTATAGAAAGCAATTCAGGCTGATTGATACGATCACATCGGCCGGGCCGATCGCAGGATCGGCCGGGACGATGTCCTGGGCGATTGATATCGGCCAGCATCTATTCCAGGCGATGTTCAGGACGATTGTACTCGAATTTGAACTAATCGGTCAGGACGATATTGTATTGGCCTGGACGATGTAACCAATTTTCTTCTGATCTTCCCAAATCGTCCCGGCTGATTGAGCTTACTTTGTACTGATCGGCCAGTACGATATTCCTATCGTGCTGGACAATAATGTCGGTTCTTGAAATTCTATTTAAAGGATCCGAATTTTCTCATGCAAAGAGACCTTTAGCTGTTGTCTTGACCTGAGAGAGCCAAGAGGAGAGGGAGAGAGAGAGAGGGAGAGAGAGGGAGGAACTTGTGAGGGGAAGTTTGTGAGAGGGATTCACAAAGGTTGCTCTAAGCAAGGTTCCAAGGCATCAAGATATGAAGTGAAATCAAAATATCCCAAAAATAAAACAACATGAAATATAGTTCAACTCAAACTCCATCTTTCCCAAATCACAGTATTCTTTTCATTAACATATAAGAGTTATTTTGAGCGATACCGGAACAAAATTTTATTGTAAGAGTTATTTTGAGCGGTACCGAGCGGTACTGCCTCGGTACCGAGCATTTACCTAGTGGTACCAATCATGTACTGCTAAATACCGAGCATATACTGCTTCGTACCAAGCATATACTGCTCAATACCGAGCATGTATTGCTCAGTACCGAGCATATACCTGCTCGGTACCAAGCGGTACTGGCTCAGTACCGAGCATTTACCTGTACCGCAGTACCGAGCATTTACCTAGTGGTGCCGAGCATGTACTGCTCAGTACCGAGCATGTACTGCTCAGTACCGAGCATGTACTGCTCAGTACCGAGCATAATTTTTAGAGGCGGACGCCTCTCAACCGTGAGGCGAGGTGCGCCTCAAGGCGCGCCTCAATAAACTTGAGGCGTACGCCTCAAATCTTGAACTCATTGCATAGGCTTTCAGGCTTAAATGGACGAAATTGCGCTGAGGTGCGCCTCTTATTACGCAATTTTAAACCATGGGTTCAACTTTAAAAATAATATAAATCAATCTATTTGAAGTGGATGATTCAACATCCAAAATTTAAACAAATACAATGACTTAGGTTGGATATCATATCCTAATTCAATAAGCTTGAGGGCCAAAGTGTTGAAGCCCTCAATTCATAAACCTACGAGCCAAACTGATTCTCTAAGATCTAATAACCTACTTAACATGCAAATTTTAAACAAGTCCAATGATTTAGCTTGGATATCAGGTCCTTGTTTAATAAGCTTAAGGGCCAAATTGGTCAAGCCCTTAATTCAAAAGCCTACGGACCCAACTATCATGTCAATTTGAGCTCTAGGTTGGCATACATATATGATGGCTCAACAAGCCAATTTGATAGCAAATTATGTTAGTTTTGTAAATTAAGGGCTGCATAGAATTCCGAGTCAATTTTGAATCACTCAAATGAAATAACTTGCAATTTCTGGTCTGGACACCAAATAGGAGGTCTACATTAGTAAAAGTATATCACCACAAATTATTCTTAAACCTCCCTGCGGTTTTGATATAAAAAAAAATTTATTTGTTTTCATTGAAGTAAGCCCTGTTTTTTCATTGCCAACATAACATGTTGATGAACTGACCATGCTGGGAAATTTTGCAGGAAAGCAAAACATCGAAGGCTTTGGCATTATCATGCTAGACTATAATGAAAGCAGAACAGATAAATTCTCAAATCATGATCTCCTCTCAACAAAATATACCTTGGCATTCACTCCCAAAATAAAGAAAGGATAGACGAAGGTTGAACTAAAAATTTTGCAATAACACACAAACTCTAAAAAAAACTTAAAACTATTTTAAAGAAAACAAAAAGCATCATTCAGTCTGACAACAGCTGCTTTATTTTAGAGTTACCTGGGCAAATACAGTCTTGCCTTCTTCGCGTCGACCGGGATCTGAAGGCAGGAAAAACATGCCAACCGCATATTGGCCAGGTGGCGGCAAGTCAAATCCATGATGCTTGGCTACCTAATTAATTTTTAAAAAATTCAACAAATTTGTCAAACAATTGGCAGATGTATGCTAGTCTCGGAGGCCTGAAAAATGTTAAAAAAATATTTAATAAATCCAGTTTATTTGTGGATTTGTAGGGGAAATAAGCATTGTCTTTTTAAAAAAGAAAATTCAAGCAGCAGGATGCATTCAGGAGACAAGTAAAAATAAAAATAAGAGAATCAACCACAAGAATAAAACTCGGTAAAAACAAAATAGGCACCTCCTTGTAAAAATCATGCGGAAGAGCCACAAGGATGCCAGCCCCGTCGCCGGTGTTAACCTCACAACCGCATGCTCCCCTGTGTGCCATCCTAACCAACATCTCCAAGGCATCGGCAACCTGCACAAAATTAAGCAGAAAACATCGGCTTGGATACGATTAACCAAAAGGTCATCAGCTTGCAAACAGTTTAATAAAGAAAACCATATATTCACCGTTTCCCGCTTGTACTCGCCGGAAAGCTCTGCAACAAAGCCGACACCGCAAGAATCCTTATCAAAAGATGCGTCGTAGAGACCGAGCGGCTTCTCCGGCACCTGAGACAGTGACATGGTCGCCGACACAACCTTAAGCACAGGGGAACGGCCAGGCCCATCAGTCCACCAAAGCTGAACCCGCTCGGAAGCGCGCAACTTCGATCCTAACAATTTCTTTCCCAGATAAACACCGGGAGACTGCCTCAGAAACGAGCATCTCGCCGGTCGGCGCCCGCGACAACCAACCGTCGCAATTGGAGGGACGGCCACACATTCATTCTGAAGCTTGAAAGCCGTGCCTCGCACTGCTGACATGGACGAGCAGCTTACGACGATCACAGGAAAATGAAACGAAGACGCGGTGTTCGATTAAATAAGTCTCAGGATCCAACCAGATCCAGCGACTACACACCTCTGAATCAAAGACCTTCGTCCAATCCCTCAACCAGAATACGTCAACAACAAATCCAATTTCACTTCCTCTCTATAGAAATCTAAGAAACAAAACAAACAAATAAGAGCAAAGCGAACGATTCTGCTTTCACAATACTTATTTCTAGATCCGCCTGTTTCAGTCACAAATCAAGAGGATAGATATCAATGCCTCCAAAAACAAATCAAATGGATAAGCTATTGAAAATCCGCAAAATCTTCAACAGCAAATCCACCTTTCCCAAAACCTTCTGAGCCGGATTCCTCGCCGCCCTCACCGACCGCCTATTCGACCAATCCCTCTGATCCCTTCTCTCTCCCTCTCCCTCTCCCTCCTTCGTTTCTTCTCTCTCTGTTCATCGCGCAAAGATTGGAGCAGAGAGCGCCATTTATAGGATTTCGAGGGAGCACAAGGCCAGCTACCACCGAATTATATATTATCACTTTTAATTAATTTTTTAAATTAACACAGTTGCATTTTACTACACTGGATTACTGGCTATGGGCCCGGGGTTCTGGACCCACTGTTAGATGGTAGCCCGACCGGGTTTAGTTTGCCACGTGGAGATAGCACCACTCTCTGGCTGGGCCAACTGAGCTATCCCCGACCGCCTCCAAGGCTCGGCTCCGAGCCTCCGCGGTGAAATGATAACTCTTAGCGGTTACGGGGTCACCGCATATAGCTTTTATTCTCACCGTCAGCATGCTTACCGCACGGAAATTCCTTTCTTAAATGCTCTTAACACATGTTTGTAATTAGCTAATTATGAAACAGAAGTTCTAAATTGCATATTTATCCAAAAAATTATTCGCGAGAAGGTATAGATGCAAACGTAAGAAAGTTCACAATTTGCTTTTTGACTAACTATCAAATCTGAAGTAGATTTGGTCCCACTCGAAATTTGCGAAGCTGCCACCTGTGAATTTTTATTATTAAGCTTTTTAAAGATGATGGGCAGCTCCTATCACTATTACATGATAAATAATTTAAAAATATTTTCATAAGATATAGAGATTTAACCCATTTTATAAAAATAAAATATAATTAAATATCTTAGAAATACATGAACATATCACGCTTTCTTTAAAAAAACTTATCATAGAAAAATATAAAATAATTTTCTAATTTACAACTTCCAAATTTTAATATTTTGAATTGAATTAAAATTTTATTTGATTGAACATACTTCAGATTTGATAATTAGTCCATAAGCAAATTGTAAACTTTCTTATGTTTACATCTATACCTTCTCACGAATCATTTTTTTTTATAAATATGCAATTTAAATTTTATATTTCATAATTTGATAATTACAAACACGTGTTATATTGAATATCAATTTTTGAGAATCATGATATTTTCATGTATTTCAAAGAAATTTAATTATATTTATTTTTTTATGTAATCATATTATTGTGGACTAGAATACTCATGGCTTCGAGGGTTTGGCGTCGTTTGTGGGAATCTCAATCCAACTCACCACTTCAATGGCCAACATGCGTAACAATCATAACTTGTGAGCCTTCCGCTCCAGCACATATCAATCAAGATATCAGTCTATAAATTAGGGACGTCAAGCATCTGTCTCTTTTCATCCTAGTGGGTGAAATCGTACTGGAGAAGGAACTTCAGGTAATTTGAAGTTGAGAAACTCGGTAACTGGTGTTAGCACAAAAACGGGAGATTCATCTCCCTCAGAATCTGCCACTGACTGGAAATGTTAAACTTGAGCAATTCATACCCCCTCTCCCCCAGTTAAGGATGCATCCCCTATCATGTCAAGATAATGAACTCGATGACACAGCAAGCTCTACTCATCCTTTATGCATTGGTCAACCACCCTGCATTCCTTTAGTTGTCATCGAAAACCTAAATTTATCTCGCATTGCTGATCTCTCACACAACACTTTACTTCATGAACTACGACGAGTGGTTCAAGAAGCTTTCCTAATGAGAGGTGGAAGGACATCTCTTTATTAGTCTGACTTTCAGAAGTCATCACCCCTAATTGAAGCCATATTTCAATATCCCATTCTCGTAAGCTTCAAATTACCAATCATAGATTTTTACATGGGACTTTTGACCCTTATAAACATATTGATCACTATAGAATCATTATGCATATCCAGCAAACCTCATATGTGCTCCTCTGCCAAGTTTCTCTAGCTACCCTCAAAGGGAAAGCTCAAACATGGTTCTATTCACTTCCAATTAGTACTATTCCCATATTCGACAAGTTAGCTGAAGTGTTCGTTGAATAATTTGTTACTAGCTAAAGAATTATTAAGGATTCTTCTCATCTCTCTAGGATTCTTCAAAATGAAGGACAATCACTTAAAGAATATTTTCAATAATTCTCTACAGAGGTGTGAAAAATTCTAAGGGTGGGTCCTGAGTTACTAAAAGGAGTTTTCCTTGGAGGGCTTCGTCCTAGCCCTTTTTACTCATAGCTCATGTGAGAAATAGTCCATTCATAAGCTGACTTTATTCATCATGTAGAAGCTCAAACATATACTGATGAGCTATTAATGCTTATATGAAATAATTTGATCAATGTAATGGGAAGCATAAGAATGCACCTAAAATGGATATTCCACCCTCACAATAAAAAGAAGCAAAGAAATCACAACTTGCCCCTAGACCCTCGCGGCTGCAATATAAATCTCGGTAAGAGAAGGAGTATGCGCCACTTAACATGTTTCAGGAAAATGTATTGATGACCATCCGATATTAGAAGATTATAAAGTGGCTAAATCCTTTAAAGCCTAATGCTAAGAATCAAGAACAATTCTACTACTTCCATCACATCCATGGGCACACTACTAACTCTTATAGACAACTCAAGGATTAAATTAAGAGACTAGTCTGATAACGATATCTTTTGAAATTCATTCATAATTTACCTGCTCCCATTGGGGGGCTAAATCAATAACACCAAAATAACCATGAAAAAGTCATCAAATAGTTGGTAAGATTGAAACACTATAGGGGGCCATCATTATGAACTCAAGTCTTAATCGTAACAAGCAAGGAGCCAATTAAGGTAGAGAGAGAAACTAATGCTCTTTTACCATCATACTCCTCCTTGACCACCGCAAGACCATCGTTGGACCATCGACTAACATCGGACCTCTATCAAAACACTGGTTGTTGCTTTACTTATTTCCGACCACCAATTAACACCAGACATCTACCTGGCTATCAACCAACAATAGACTTTTTCCCAACTCTCCAAACTTTTGTAATTTCACCATCCTGAAGTTTCCAAATGAGTCAATCTTTGTAACCTATTTAAACAATAGTGGAATCATTTTGGATGGTAATGGCACCATGGTTTTCCACATAAAGGTTCTAGTTTTTTTACTGTTTCTATTTGTGAGCTGGATACTCATAAAATGCTAGGACACAATTTTTTCTACTTTACCGCCATGAATATTCTATCCCACAACACAAATTAATCTCTATATTTTATGAAAAAATAATTAAAATTTCTTATTTGTAATAAATTTTATTATAATGACTTTAATTTTTATTTATTATTTTAGGTTAAAACTTAAGTATTTTGAGCATTAGTATATTTTTATTTTGAATTAGCAAAAGATTAACGTTGAGTAAAATCAAAATTGCTATTTCAATGGACCTCGTTAATGTGTGGCTCTTTGATCCACATAGTGATTCGAGCTAATTAGGTCCACCATCAATCATATGTCTCAAATCTTTAGTCCATAGCCATCATCAATATGATAAAATGTAACTATATTAATTGAAAAATAAATTCAAAGTAAAATTTAATTTGATGGTAGATAGCTCTTATGTGCTCTTGAAATCCTATTAATTGTGCTCTCTTCTCTTCCCCTGGCATGCACGTGTGTGTGTGTGTGTGTGTGTGTGTGTGTGTGTGTGTGTGTGTGTGTGTGTGTGTGTGTGTGTGTGTGTGTGTGTGTGTGTGTGTGTGTGTGTGTGTGTGTGTGTGTGTGTGTGTGTGTGTGTGTGTGTGTGTGTGTGTGTGTGTGTGTGTGTGTGTGTGTGTGTGTGTGTGTGTGTACGTGTGTGTGTGTGTGTGTGTGTGTGTGTGTGTGTGTGTGTGTGTGTGTGTGTGTGTGTGAGAGAGAGAGAGAGAGAGAGAGAGAGAGAGTAGAGTTTGGGATTGGTTTTATAGGTGGCCAATAAGGATGACAAAGATTTCAACTTCTACAAATTTCCAATATCTTATCCACTTGTTTAATTTTTAGAGGAATTGAACTCTATCCTCTTGATTTGTGACAAAAACAGGCAGATTTAATCAAAAGTATTATGTTAAAATCTTTGGCAAAAGAATCATCTATTTTGTTCAAATTTTTTATTTCGTTTATACGATTTTGTAAATATTTTGTTCTCTTATTTCTATGAAAAAGAAGTGAAATTGGATGTGTCATTGATGAATTCTGGTTAAAGGATTAAACATAGGCATTTGGGCTCTTGTCTCAAGGTTTATCTGCCAATTTTTTTATTCCAATGTGTATAGTCCCTAGGTTTGGTTGAAACTAGGGGATGTTTTGATAAAACACTACTTTTAGGTTTTATCTTCTTATGATCCAAAGCTTCTAGTCAATGGTAATGTTGCTAAGCATAACCTTCAAACTTCAAAATGAGTAAGTGGCCACATCTTCAATTTTATACTATAAAAAGAAGTTTAGTTGTCCAATGCGTCGAGCGATGAGATGCTCATTTTTGAGGTAGTCTCCCCGGGTTTATTAATATTAAAGGTGTGTTCTTTGGAATGAGCTCAACTTTTGTGGACTAATGGGATAAGGTGTTCCCCTATACTTAGACTTGTTTTGATGACCATGTTATAGTCTCATGCATTGAAGAAGCCACTCAAATTTTATGGTGCATCTTTTGATAAGTATTCTTATGGTGTTTGCTTTATTGTAGAGCTTTCCAGCATACAAAAGTGGGAAATTGTGAGTATATTAAAGTGCTTGGAGGATTAAAACTTTTTAGATTAATCATATCTAAGATATATTTCTGTTAAATTTTAGCTAGGTTGTTGATGCCTTAAAAATATTGGTCAGTTGCGATGACACACGGGAGAATATGTTGTTGTGAGGTCAACATTAATGACAAGGAAGAATTTCTTGTGAATTTTACAAGGAGGCTGCTATTTTATTTTTTCAAAGTTACGTTCTTCTGATTTATTCTCTTATATTTATTTTTACTTGGCATATGAATGCATCTTGCTCCTTATATTTATTTAAAATAATGCTTATCTTTCCCTACAAATCCACACGTGGAATAGATTTATTAATTTTTTTCAACATTTTTTGGGCATTGAAGGCTGGTAAATGCCTGCTAATTGTTAGTCAAATTTAATGACACTCTTTTAATTAATTAGTTAACCAAGGA